TTTATTTTTACTGCCATAAATCAGTTCTTCCATAGCACATATTTTATCTATCTTCATAAACTATTCTCTTATTGAAGAAGGTTCTACTCGCTTCCAATGTAGTGGAATTAACCATTTCCAGTATTTACTAATAATGGGGCAATGCCACCATACATGTGCCATTGTCGCCCTTATACCACATCCTCTCCAACATAATGGTGAGTTGCTCAGATCTATTGCGTGCAATCTTACCGGCGTAAGGTACCATCTCGACAGGAGTTTATAATTAATCTCCTCTATATAGGAAGATATTGAAGTTAGACACACTAGCTGTAAAACCCTTAATCTATATTGTTCTGGTAAGGGGACCCCAAAATCGGCCTCCCAATGCAACATAAACCCTGGAACGGGTGGGGAACTCATTTGGGTCAGCATCTAAATCAACAATGATAAACTTCTCTTTGGAGATGATGCCCTTGATAATATCACCTCTAATGGGTTTAGCTCATCTATTGTTCTAACTGGTTTTGATAACAATTGCCACAGTGAGTTAATTGGTAATATTGTCACCTATCCATCATTGACAGCGATTTACTTAAAGTCGGCAGTGATTTCAACGCACCTCGGTCCATCACGTGATGCAATCATAGTGTACCTTCCTCTATCCATTTACCAAAACTTGAGTCTAAATTTCCAGGGAGAAAAAAATCATGTCCCAACAGAGACATGCCAGCTGATTTGAAAAATATTCCGGAGGGCTTGGCAGCGAAAGGGTTAAAGGCGAATTATAGCGCCACCCATGTTTTTTGTGCAATAAGTCCCATACTGCCAGAGTGTTTCCCACTGGTGGATGTGATCCCTCTGTTATTTGTCTATATATTTCAACCAGCATACTATACTCAGGTCCACCTTACATATTTCAAACTCGACTGCAACCCATAGTATAGTTACCTTATCGTAATGCCAGTTCAAAAGTCTATTCAGCACTGCTGCCTGATCATAACATTTAAAGTCAGGTATTGCTAACCCCCCCTGTGATTTTGCTCTTGATAAAGTGCTATATGACATTCTCACCCTCTTTCTTCCCCAAATGTATATAGATACCATCATCTGCAATGTTCTAAAGAAGCTATTAGTCAAAGTTATAGGAACCATCAGATATAAAAATATACACCTCGGCAGAACATTCATTTTAACTATATTAATTTTACCAATCCTTGAGTGATATAATGCAGTCCATTGTTGCAAATCCTTCCGAATTGTATTAAAAAGGTGAATATAGTTATAACTAAACAAATCCCGCTGGCAAGGAGTTAAATTAATCCCCAAGTATTTCAATTTCTAAACTTGCCACCTAAAAGGAAAGCTTAAATGCAAAGAGTATACCTCTATGGATGACAGGTTAATATTTAATATTTCCGACTTGTTAAAATTAATCTTAAAAAAATATAGCTCTCCATATTCCCGCAATGCCGCCAATATACATTATGTGGGATGGTTGTTCTGGGTTGCTGGATATAGAACAATATATCATCAGCATATGCTGCATATTATTGTTCCTTATTTCCTTTAACCACTCCATGAATATCATAATTTGCTCTAATACTTGCTAAGTATCGCAAATATTAGGAGAGAAAGTGGACATCCCTGGTGTGTACCATGACCCAGTGCAAATCCCTCACTAAGGATATCATTGACCCTTACTTGTGCCCTTGGTTCTTTATATAATGCCGAGATCCAACTCATCATTTTATTTCCTAGACCCATATGTTGTAATGTAAGCAATAAGAAATTCCAGGCCACTCTATCAAACTCTTTCTCTGCATCTGTTGATAGTAGTAGGGTGGACTGGGATTGTTGTTTCACATATGTCATTACCGCCAAAGTCCGCAGAGAATTATCTCTTGCTTCTCTTCCAGTAATAAATCCGGTTTGTTCGGCAGAGATAAATTGTGGTACCAATAGTAACCTCGAAGCCAAAACTTTAGCAAATAACTTAATATCTATGTTTAGAGGAGAACTATGGGGTTAAGGCTTTTCCCCATAGTTCTCCTTAGGGTAACAGGAGGACACAAACTAGCGTCCTCCCATCACCCTAGGCTCAGTATACCGCGAGTTGCAGCTCGCGGTATACTGAGATACCGCAGTATACCGCGAGCTGCTGCTCGCGGTATACTAAGACGCCGCTGCTGAAGCGGATCCTGACAATTATGTCTGGATCCGCCCAGCTGCGTGACTGACAGCTGCCTCTGCCTATCTAGAGGCAGAGCCAGCTGTATCCGCCCCCTCCCCGTCCGGCAGCGCTAGCGGATCGTAGCGGGGAGGGGGGAATCCAGCCCCTCCCCTGTCACGGCAGAGAGCCGTGACAGGATCGAGAGGTGAGCGAACGCCGGTATATGTTCGCTCACCTCCCGATCTACTGAGCTGACCTGTGACAGTCTCATTGTCACAGGTCGGCTAGAACTATGAGGTGAGTGAAAAGCACTCACCTCATAGTTCTCCTTTAATGATGATATTGGCCTTTAACTCCCACAATTCGTGGGGAAAAACAAATTGGTTTGATAAACATTTGCGCAAATATCGTGAGACATAAAATATTCCAACTAGTATTTTTTTATTCTATAGGGCCTGTAATTTCAGAAAATCTATAATTGGTTGGGGTTTTAAGATGTTTTCTAGCCAAGAAAATCAGATTTATAATTTATGTGCAAAAATTAAGAGATTACTCCGGGACAACAAATACACCTTTAGAGATGTTTAGTAATGACAATCTTCAAACACATACTACTAGATTATTGTGGGCTTTTTATTCTTTGCATACCTTATTTATTTCCCTGCCCATTCTTCTCCTAGTGGCCATTTTTACTAAGGGCAGATTAATACATCTCCCTTTACTTCCTGGAACTCTGGCACATGTGACTAGGGCATGTGACCATGCGCATCATCTCAGGGGAAAAAAATGCCTTTTCCTGAGATCTCGCAGTATACAAGATTTTGCAGTATACAAATGAGGTTTCCCACCAGGGTATTGCTGATGTAACCTTCCCAGGATGCAACGCATGGCCACCAGCTATATCACTTATGCCTAAGAGGACCAGCAACAGTAATGATAAGTAAGCTAAACATATGTTTATTTAACTAATGAATACCGTATATACTCGAGTATAAGCCGTCCCGAATATAAGCCGAGGTACCTAATTTTACAAAAAAAAATGGGAAAAAGTATTGACCTGAATATAAGCCGAGGGTGGGAAATGAGGCAGCTACTGGTAGATAGATACCAATAAAATTACATTAATATTTATTTAAAAGAAAAATAACCTAGCTCTGCAAGTGGAAAAGGGGGTACAGGGCTACATATCATGTACTACGGATCATTTAACCCATTCATGTTAGCAGAGGATCATTGTAAATGTATTGTCTGCACTGTATTAGCAGTATATACTCTATATTGAGTATATACTGCTAATACAGTGCAGACAATACATTTACAATGATACTAACATGAATGTATTAAATGATCTGTATGTAGCCCTGTACTATGGATCATTTAACCCATTCATGTTAGCAGAGGATCATTGTAAATGTATTGTCTGCACTGTATTAGCAGTATATACTCTATATTGAGTATATACTGCTAATACAGTGCAGACAATACATTTACAATGATACTAACATGAATGTATTAAATGATCTGTATGTAGCCCTGTACTATGGATCATTTAACCCATTCATGTTAGCAGAGGATCATTGTAAATGTATTGTTGCAGGCACTCTATATGTACATGTACTATATACTACATATAGAATGCACTGAACAATAGATTTACAATTATCCTCTGCTAATATGAATGGGTTAAATGATCCGTAGTACATGATATGTAGCCCTGTACCCCCTTTTCCACTTGCAGAGCTAGGTTATTTTTCTTTTAAATAAATATTAATGTAATTTTATTGGTATCTATCTACCAGTAGCTGCCTCATTTCCCACCCTCGGCTTATATTCAGGTCAATACTTTTTCCCATTTTTTTTTGTAAAATTAGGTACCTCGGCTTATATTCGGGACGGCTTATACTCGAGTATATACGGTATAAGAGGATTTCATATCAGCATGCAGAGCTGCATAAAGATGTGATTTTTAGTGAAAGGGGGTAAAGGTCCGCTTTAAAGGGCAACTTCACTTACAGTGAAGTTGTCCTTCAAGTCTGATTTTACTTGCTACCTGTACCAGCTCAATGCCTTGAAAAGTAATGAAGTCAGAGACAGCCAGGCAACAATCTTTTTTTCAGAGTAAGGTCAGTCATACCAGCTGTAATATTTCGCCCAGTACAGGTTTCCTTTAATACATACTTATTTGAGCTTTGAGTTCTAGTACTGGCCATGCAATTTGCTCTTAGCAGAACTAGACGTTATTATAAAATATTCAAATTGCATAAAAGCAATTGTTCTGTTATGGCACTGCTGACATATAGGACAAGATAGCAGTTAGTATTATATTAGCACAGTAACTTTGGAGAGTGTATAAAAAACCCAGACCCTCTGTAACACCTATATTTGTATAAAGGACCCCTGACAATGGCTTGGCAATAACATTGTTTTGCATTTTATATTTACTCTTACTAATGCCCTGTTTCAGCTTCTTTCAATTTTCATCTTTCTTCCTGTCTTTGTGATAGCAGTACAAGCAATGAGTAGAGCGGGTGTCACTAGCACAGGAAGACAGAGACAGTAATAATAACTGACAGAGGTTTTATATCCCTCCCATCCCAGTGAAAAAAGGTGTTTTTGCTGCTGTCTATATCTCCATTGGAGAGGTTGCCCATTACTTCCTCCAGAAAATTAGGGGAAATCCTCCCACTGGAGACACAGACCACAAATTAAAACATGACAAAGGTTCTATCCCTTTCCTACTCTGTCCAAAACTACAAACACAAAAATGTATGTTGCCAATGGGCCTTAATGGTACTTACGTTGGTATTCACTCATCAGATGCAAAAACATATTCTCATTGCTTTTTCAGGAGCCCAGCTCTTCCTTCCTGCAGATGGCCGCCTCGGTGGAGCAGCAACTTACAGTCATATTCAAGGTGCTTGAAGAATATGACCTGGGTCCATTCTCTGTGGTAACCAGTCATTACCCTGGACACCAACTTTTTCTGAAAACAGTGAGAGCTCTGTGTGAGGCTATTCAGCCAGGTTGGGGCCCCCAGGATGAGCTGATATTAGAACCAGGCACTGGTCCACGCGGGACCCAACATGTGCTCAAACAAGTATCCGCTCCAGTGTTTCTACTGTTCTGCTCTAGAGAGGAAGCTGAAGAGTTATTTTTTGTGGCTGGAGAAGCTGGTCTCCTTGGACCTGCTCATGTATGGATTGTACCAAGCTTCACTATTGGTTCCCCAGAGAGGCCTGCTAACTTTTTCCCTGTTGGACTGGTTAGCGTTGTGACAGATGGCTGGAGGAGGAGCTTACGGCAGAAAGTACAGGATGGCATAGCAGTAATTGCTGCGGCAGCTAAGAACTATATACAGAGACATGGTGAACTGCCCACCCCTGGAGGAACCTGTTTGGCACCAATGCAAATAGAAGGAAATGACACCCTGTATAAGTACGTGTAAGGAAATTGTGGTCAACACACTAAACTTGACTTCATTTTATAGCACGTGCTGTATTTTCTTATCTCTAGATGGTACAACAACTAATTCTTTAAGATTATAAATCATGAGACTCAATACTCACAGAATATTTGCTCTAAACACGGTATGAGAATAAAAAAACTGAACTGAATAAGTATAAAAGTAATAATTTAGACTATAAAGATAGTAAATATAACATCAATAATTGCATTTTGCCACGGATTAAGTTCTATGCTAAGTGTTCCTTTAAAACCATGTTTCATGTTACACCCATATTCAGAGTGTAACATGAAACATTGTTACATTGCCACCACTCAACCCCTATACTGCCCCCAACTTAACTGAATCACAGGGTTATTGTCCCTGCAGGCTGCTGTTGATTTTTAAAAATGGAATGGTTATGCGTGGCTCCACTCACACAGACACATCATCCTTTCACGCATGACGCATCCTTTGGCAGATCTGTAAATGGGGAAACATAAAGTCTCGTCTGTCATCACAACAGATGGACCTATATTTCTAAAAAGGAATATAAGGGCAGTGACGTCACCGCACTTGTAGTCCAATCTTTGTGGACCAGTGCATTGCACCCGCAATGCACTGGTCCAGAGCTGAATATGCCATATAGGCTCTATCAAAATATGTGTTGCCATTGATTCAGAATATACAGACACCACATCCCTCAAGGTTCAACATACAACTCCATGGGATGTTGAAAGATAGGGTGTTCAAAGTGTCCTGAAATCAAAAATATACAATCTTAAAAATATATAAATGTTCCAATTATCTTTACACATTATAATAAAATCCCTTTTGATATATAAGACTTGCTGAGTCATAAATTATTTATGCCTTCACATTAATATCATAGAATCTATTAATATTTTAAATCATAAACCATCTGTGTTCCCGAACCCACCATTTTACACCGATCAACCAACCAGACTGTCTTAGCATTATACATCATTCCGTATCCAAGATAGAATAGAATAGACCTTGGCAGATTGTGAGATAAGGGCATACTTGTGTGATGTCTACTTCTTCAGACAACATCAGGATGGTACCTATGATAATGTAAATAACAGTTGCTCGGGCATACACAGTGTATAATACTTTTATTGACATCAGCATAATTGTTATTGTGATATAACACTTACTTCACAGAACATGGGAAGGCCTGCTTCGAGGTATCAGGTACATTGGAACATTGGTCCCTACATGGGACTTTAGGGGACATCCTGTCTAAAGGGCCTTGATAGAGAGATGAGATTTGCTATATATCCAAAAAGATAAATATTTTTTACTTATTACAGAGTGCCATCTAAGCTAGATATAACTATAAACCTATGCATGAGTCAGAAAACATATAAAAGTATCAATATTGAAATTAAATGTGCATCGAGATTTCCCTCAGTGCATCACATCCTATAAGATTATCCCCCAATTCATAATCCTTCCCTTACTCCCCAAACTTCCAAAGAACATCTATATTCTTATAGAAATCTAATAATCTAATACTCCAGATAATCAAATGATATATCTGATATGGGCAGAGGGAGTAATAAAAAGTTAAGATGATGTCCAGGGAGATCAGAAAAAGTTAAGGAGATTTCTAGAGGAATTACTCAAGTTGTCTCTTCTGTAGATTAGTTGATGTAACACTAAACTCAGGAGTTAAATCTTAAAAATGCATTCAAGTACCCTAACTATTAACAAAATGTAGCATATGTGTGTAACACTATGAATGCATTTTTAAGATTTAATTCCTGAGTTTAGTGTCACTTTAAGAGTATTTTATGTTGATCCATGACTCTAATAATTAAAAACGAATGGAAGTAAAATATGTATCATAATACAATATCATAAGTAACAACCAGCATGGATTTACGAAGGACCGTTCTTCTCAGACCAACCTTTTGACATTCTATGAGGTAGTGAATAATAATCTGAACAGAGGAAGCCCAAGAGATGTTATTTATCTGGATTTTGCTAAGGCATTTGATACAGTACCTCACAAATGTTTAATTAACAAATTAAGGTCTATTGGCATTGAAGAAACTGTATGGGTAGAAAAGTGGTTGCAGAAACGGATCCAGAGAGTAGTGTTAAACAGTTTATTCTGTAAATGGTCCAAAGTTGTGAGTGGAGTGCCCTAGGGTTCAGTCCTGTGTCCAGCACTGTTTATTCTTTTCAGAAATTATATAGAGGTCGGCTTAAATAGCTTAGTCTCAGTGACCCAATGTATGTAAAACTACACTCAACAGTAAGGACCTTGATGTAAAAAAGTTTATTCCCAGGAATCTACAAGCATGATAAGATCCTCTTGCTCTGACATGTTTCGCCAAAACCGGCTTAATAAATTATGAATGTTTTAATATATTTCTTTTTTTACATCGAGGTCCTGGCTGTTGTGTGCGGCTTAACATACATTGGATTACTAGTGACGGCCGTGGCGTGCCTCTGTCGGCCGATACCCAGCTTTTTGGATGGCACCAATGAGTTTAGGCATATGAATATGAGCAGTGTCCTTTTTACAAACTTAATCTCAGTGTTTGCTAACGATACCAAGCCATATAGGGCAATAGGTTTGCAAGAAAACATAGAATCACTGCAGAAAGATCTTGATAAAAGTGAGGAATGGGTAGCGTGGCAGATGTTACAAGCATGACAAGATCCTCAGGCTCTGGCATGTTTCACCAAAAAGGCTTAATAAATTATGAATGTTTTAATATTTATTTATTTTTTTACATCGTGGTCCTGGCTGTTGCGTGTGGCTTAACATACATTGGATTACTAGTGACGGCCGTGGCGTGCCTCTGTCGGCCGACACCCAGCTTTTTGGATGGCACCAAGGAATTTAGGCATATAAATGTGAGTGGTGTCCTTTTCACAAGCTTAATCTCAGTGTTTGCTAATGATACTAAGCCATATAGGGCAATAGGTTCGCAACAAGACATAGAATCACTGCAGGAAAACCTTGATAAAAGTGAAGAATGGGCAGCATGGCAGATGTGATTTAATATTAATAAATGTAAAGTTATGCACTTGGGAGCTAAGAACATGCATGCAAAACACTCTTTGGGAGGTTCTCTGCTGAGGAATTCAGGGATGGATAAAGATCAAAGGGGCCTTCAGGACCACAGACTCACCATGCAATGCCAAGCTGCAGCTAACAAAGCGATTAGAATATTATTTTGCATTAAAAGAGAGAGTATTTCAAGGGATAAAAATGTAATACCTTTATAAAACACTGGTTCGGTCACATCGTGAGTAAGTGGTTCAGTTTTGGTCACCAGTGCTTAGTAAGGACATACTTGAGGTAGAAAAAGTTCAGAGAAGGGCAACAAAATTAGTAAGGAGGGCGGAAGGCCTAAGTTAGACTACAGAAATTAAACTTGTTCTCCTTAAAAAAGAGACGCCTAGGAGGAGATATGATTGCAATTTACAAATTCATTAATGGAGACTTCAGCATAGGGAATAAACTGTTTAAACTAAGAACTCTGAGGAAGACACAAGGGCACAACAAGAAGTTTTTTTTTTTGTTAGGGCAGTAAAAATATGGTATTCCCTTCCGCAGTTACCTTTAACAGCTGAAAGCATTGATAACTTCAGAAAACACTTAGATGAGTTTCTCAGTTTACAGAATATACATGGTTATGGGAGTTGTTAATGACATGTGTATACGCACGCACGCATATAGGTTTAACTAGATGAACCTGTGTCCTTATTCAACCTTACCTATTATGTAACTATGTGCATCTCACCACCCAGAGGCTAGACTCCCAGCCAGCCAGCTAGCAGAGATAGTGTTCTGCATTCCCTCTTCAGCACCCCCACATATAGGAGGGGCAATCCACCCTCCTATATTTATCCCCATAACCCCTCATAACTAAGCTCTCCCACCACCCCTTTTCCTGTTCGCTAAATGCACCCAGACGGACACGCAGCCCAGGACCAAGCATGGCGGCAGTGGGTAAGCAAATGAGCCTTGTCCACTCCTGGCCAATTGAGAGGCCACATCCCAGCCACCACAGGGGGAGCAGGGGAAAGCCGGCATCAAGGTAGGACTAGAGAGATAAAAACGTCCTGTGGCCACAATATAAGGAAAGACTCTCCCTCCAGTTTAAGAGCCCATATATAGTCCCCAAGGATCATATCATTCTGCACACTGAGCACCAAGTACAACAGTTCACATATTCATTCTAACACATTAAACAAGCACTATCCTGTTATATACGGTATTACATACATTTGCATCTATTGAAAGCATTACGTAGCATACGTATGCATTATTTACAAGTGGTAAGATTGTATTACATGATATTATTTATTTCTATTATCCCAGATAGAATTAGTATTTAATATTGTCCAGCATGTATACATAGTCAGCACATTGAGATGGCTTATAGCCATTCACTGAGAGAATCATACATTCAAGCCTGGTGGCTGTGTAGCATTTACTTCATATATCCAGTGGGGGGGAGAATATATTTATTATTATTATAGGTATTTCTATAGCGCCGACAATTTTTACACAGCACTTTACACAGTTGCACATTCACATCAGTCCCTGCCCTCAAGGAGCTTACAATCTAAGGTCCCCATATCACATACAGGGCCAATTTAGTCAGGAGCCAATTAACCTACCAGCATGTCTTTGGAGTGTGGGAGGAAACCAGAGTAAACCCACACAAGCACAAGGAGAACATGCAAACTCCCTGGTTTGAATCCCTGGCCGGGATTCAAACCAGGGACCCCCAGTGCTGCAAGGCAGAAGTGCTAACCACTATGCCACTGTGCTGCCTTTCCAGTGTGGAAAAAAATACAAAAGAAAAGTTATGGTGTAAACCCACATGTCAACTCACATTTCAATCATTTTCTATTGTGTATATGCGATCATTTACATGGAGCCTAAACTGACGTTTAGCTTTTCCTACATGGAAAGCGCCGCATCTACCTCTCATAAAATAAATGATGCCTGTATTTGTTCAGGATAGATTTATTTGATTTAAAATGACGTGAATAGCGTGTAATGATATGAGTAACTTGTGAGTCTTTGTGATTCTTAGGGGCACATAAAAGATCATGTCTATCTTTAAAAAGCTTGTTAATATGCTTTCTCCAAAAGTCCTGTTGCCATTTCCTCATTTTAACAGTCTGCCACATAGCAGGGTACATTGGTAAACATTATCATTATTGCTAGAGCCATTTCTCCAAACTCTTTAACCCCTGTACGTCCCCGTCACTAAGGGCCCAAATGACTGATCACGTACACTGTACTTGAGCAGCTATTTGGGGCTCTGTAATGCGGGTAACCGCTGTGAATCAGTATTGAGGCATCCATTATTGAAAGAGTTAAACTTTAACAGACACCCAATCCCTTTTAGGAATTGGGTGTCTGACAGTGATAGCAGTGCAGTATTTACCACACTTGCTGTCACTGTTTGACAGCTGGTACAGACCCGGATTATGAAATCCTGATGTGTACCGGCTTTTTGCTAAATATTTCAGCATAGAAACATTTGGCTACATGTTTCTATTCTGAAACATTGTTGTAAAGTGCATCCTAAAAAATATTGTAAATTCATTAAATCCCTTCAACATATTTCTAACGTTGCAATTTAAAATGTCCATACATATCTCATGAGTGTAATATGAGTGAAAATATTATATTCACTAATAACTAAATATTTAATCTGAAAATTCCATTAAAAAATTATATAAATATTCAGTTGTTTCTATATATAAAAGGGACAAAAAGTCCAAACCCGTGCTCTACACAACAAAAGTGCCTTAATATACAATATTTAAAAGTTCAGATCCTAAAAGATCCACACCATAGGATTTCCACGTTTCTCCAAGTCATGAAAATAAGAAGTGATGAAAATAAGAAGTGTTACTCTTCCTGTGCTGAAAAATAAAGCTCTCTTATCCGCACTCACCAGAGTGATCAGACGATCAAATCATGTGTGATACAATATTGCAATTAAGCACAGCTATCTTCCACCCTCTGAGTCCCATAGTCCTCTCCACTCCACACTCACTTTGCTTGATTAGTCTTCAATCACATCGCCATATTAAAGAGCAATAAAAAACCGCTCATAGTGCAGTATGAACTTATCAACGTTTATGTAGAATAAATCAGTTCTACTCACATGAGGTATGCTTTAAAATTAGCCGGCAAACAGAAAAAAAACAATCATCTCTCAGAGCGCTTATTCCCTGCAGACTTCCGGATCAGAATAGCCTCAGCAAGGTCCTATTCTGACCCGGAAGTCTGCGGGGAATAAGCACTATGGGAGAGGATCATTTTTATTTTCTGTTTGCTGGCTAATTTTAAACATACCTCATGTGAGTAGAACTGATCTATTCTAAATAAACTTTGTTAAGTTCATACTGCACTATGAGCGTTTTTTATTGCTCTTTTAATATGGCGATGTGAGCGGAGACTAATCAAGCAAACTGAGTGGAGAGGAGTACGTGCGAAATATGTAAATGCATAATAATGTGCCGAGCTGATAACAATAAAATGTGAAATTCTGTATAAAAGTGAATACACTAATAACATAGATATGACAATCAGTGCAAGTCATCAGAGTTACATGCCAGCAACAAGTCATCAGAGTCACATGCTAGGCTCTGGGTATCCAAATAACGTAAAAAAGTGATGAATAAATCCAATAATGTCCTATGACATCAAAATTGAATGTGAAAAAGTTAATAGAAGTGACGAAAAAGAATCAATAGGTGATCGTCAGTCTTAGGAGATATCTGAAGGGCCACAGCCAAGATGTTATTCTAATCCTACACCATCCACACCCGGTGAGTACTAGTGTACAGAGGGGTGCTCACCGGGGATGTAGACCCACACAGTATGTCTCAACGCAGTCCTCTTCTTAGAAACATTAGAAATATGTTGAAGGGATTTGATGAACTATTTACAATATTTGTTTAGGATGCACTTTAATTGAGACTTATAGATATTGAGACATTGTAGTTGTAAGTACCTTGAAATAGTGGTAGCGCTGTGCACTTTTAAAACAATACATTTGCTATTGCACCTTATAGTACAGCAGCTTCCTGCGTCCATATTAAGATTTAGTCACCCATAGCGCAGAATAATATCTATACAAAGAATTTTTAAAACTATACTTTTTATAAAAATTAACCCTTTACAATGAAAATCTGTAGCTGAGCTGTAGATGTGCTTTTCACCCAAATTAGTTCATTTTTTTATTTAACCGCGTCCGTGTTCAAAGTATGTCACTGTCACTAAGTGTGACAGCGGCATTGTGCCCAAAGTACTATTTTTGGCTGATGTTTCGGCGGCCGAAATTTCGGTGCATTCCTATTTTGGAGTATTATATGAATGGTATTGGGAGTAGATAATACATGCTATTTGGGTACTTTCACATATTTGCATATGCTTATATTGTAGTCATGATTGTAGTGAACATTTTTAAGAGTTATTGCTCTTTTATAAGAATATACTATTCAATAAGTGTTTAGTGGAAGTATATGAGAAAGTGGGGGATGGATTATAAAGTGGAAGATAATCTTATAGGATGTGATATACTGAGGGTAATCTCAATGCACATTCAATTGCAATATTGACAACTATATACTTTTCCTGCCTTACGTATAGGTATATAGTTATAGCTAGCTCAGATGGCACTCATATATCTGTAATAAGTAAAAAAATATATATCTTTTTGGGAATCTAGTAGATCTTGTCTATCTCTCTTCTGTTGAGGCCCTTTAGTGAGCACATCCCTTAGGGTCCCATGTAGGGACCAATGTTCCACTTATCTCATAACTCGATGCAGTCCTTATCACACTAGAAATTATGCTGATGCGAATGAAAGTATTATGCACTATATATGCCCTAACATCTGTTATTTATATTATCATAGATACCATACTTATGTTGTCTGAAGGAGCAGACTTAGTTCTGCAAAACACGTCGCACAAGCGTGCCTTATCTCACAATCTGCTAAGGTCTGTTCTATTCTATCTTCTATAAGGAATGATGTAAAACAATAAGACAATCTGATTGGTGTAAAATAGTGGGTTTGGGGACATGGTTGGTTTTTAAATTAAAATATTAATGGATTTTATGATATGAATGTGGAGACATATATGATTTCTGACTAAACATGTATTATATTCTTCTTACATCAAAAGTGATTATATTATAATGTGTAAATAAAATTGGAACCTTTATATATCTTTGAGATTGTATATTCTTCATTTCCTGACTCTCATCTTTCTGTCTATACAGTTGTATCTTCATCACATATCTAAGGCCAGCTGCAGCAAACAATCCCCATGGTGATTGGTCAGGTTTGCTTCCTTCTCCTTCCTCCTTTCTGCTCCATTTACAAACACATATACTTTAGGTAATCTGAATGTAAATGTAGAATTGGACAACATTGGTCATTGAAATCTTCTAGTGGTAGTACCATGACTTCGTGTCCAACCCTTGTCTGATGACTATCCAAAATAAAAAAATAATAATATCAATCTGCTAATATATAATAATGCAGCACTACTTGGCTCTAATACGCTTATCAACCAAAGTCAATGTTGAAACCTAACAAATAGCTAAGGGAATCAAAGAAAGTCAATGTTGAAACCTAACAAATAGCTAAGGGAATTGTCCTGGCACAGTCTTATCAAATTGCACATACAAAGTCCCTATGAACCATGCCCACTCACCATGTTTAATACTCCTGTAGCACTAATGATTAGTATACATGCAATCATGTATTTTTTGCTAAATGTTTCATATTTTACTGCTAAAGCATTTTGGTTATGTTTGTTTGGAAATATGGGCAAAGCTAATAAAATGTGTGTCCAGTCAAAAATAATTTTGGGGGCGAGTTTTACTGCTATTTTACTGCAGGTTGTAAAGTGTGTGCTCACAATACATAAACGGAAACCAGAGAATAGCCGCACTCCACAAGATACAAGCAATGAATCCTGTGTTTATTTATGCAAAATCAAGTGTTCGCCAGACCAAATAGCAAACTCCTCTCACATATTTCACTACAGTGGCTTACTCATAGAGGTCTCTATGACTAAGCCACATTGGTGAAACATGTGAGAGGAGTTTGCTCTTTGGTCTGGGGAGCACTTGATTTTTCATCAATAAACACAGCATTCATCACTCGTATCTTGCGGAGTGTAGTTATTCTCTGATTTCCTGTATAAAAGCATATAACTTTATTTATCTGGATAACCTGAACACAGAGTTCCCACCTGGGTCCTCCTCAATTAAACCCAGCCTTGTCATGGGAAGAGGTCCCAGACAAGGAAACTGTTTATGGTACCAAGATGAATAATTTTACCAGCGTTTTAATTTTCTTTGACGTGCAGCCAGTCTTTTAATTTGAATTTGTACAGCCTTTAGGGCATAGAATGAGCCCCTGCTGACATTTACCACCTGATCTTCCATGAAGGTGACCCAGTTAAGGGCAGCATACCCAATACTTATGCCAAGGTTTTTTAAATAAAATTATCTTGGCTATCTGAGTTTTCACTTGTATTTATTGTTACTCTCCACACTAGAGGTTATATTCTGGTTGCATTCAACATGTTCATTTACTGTCTTTTCTAAACTCTTTAAAGTCCTCATTATTCATTTTTCTGTGTCCATCTTTTAGGCATATGCTCAATATAGTTTGGCAGGAGAGAGATCTGTCCTTCACTACTCAAGGATTTCTACGAGATCCTTCCCTGTTAGTTATTACAGTGACTCCTCAACGAGTGTGGGAGGAGGTAAGATATCCTCTATATTCTTCTTTTCAGCTGTGAAAAACTTCCTCAGCCAAGGAAACTTTCCTCTTCTCTAGGTTGGCAGGTGGGATCGTGGCATAATACGAATGAAGTACCCTGTATGGCCACGTTATGGCTCTGGTCAACAGCCTGTGACTGATACCCGTCATCTAACTGTAGCCACCTTAGAAGAGAGGCCGTTTGTTATTGTTGAGCGCACAGACCCAGTAACAGGAGACTGTGTGCGGAACACTGTGCCTTGTCGCAAGCAGAGCAACCTAACTTTGAGGTAAATTGGGATAAACTTTGAGCTCACAAAATAAAAAAATAAAAGCAAAGCAAAGGGGAACGAAGATTTATTTGTGGGTAAAGTCAAGCTAACTAAAAATCTGGTTTAGTAATCTAAATCTGAAAAAATATATTGGTTAATCCATTTTTGAAGTAGTCTTTTACTCCCAAAGTCTTTTATGTTATTCCTTAGCAGTTCGGGGGAACCCTATTCCAAGCTGTGCTGTAAAGGTTTCTGTATCGACATCTTGAAGAAGTTGGCTCGAACCGTTAAGTTCTCATATGATCTTTACCTGGTGACCAATGGCAAGCACGGGAAGCTTGTACGAGGAGTGTGGAATGGCATGATTGGAGAGGTAAGTAGTTGGTTTATTATAATTAATTGTCATCAAGCCAATGTCAGCTCCTGGCAACCACATGGATAGTGTTTCTTAAAAATAATCTGTCTTCTGTTTGTATGGTATGTTCAGTCTTTGCAATGGCATGCTCATACTTTCTGTGAATGTATGCAGCCAGTTTTTTACTGGTCATCCTTCAGTGAGTTGGTTCTTCTTATATTATGTCCAAAATATGTCTGCATTTTGAAAGGTGTTTTAGTTATGAATATTTGCGGTACAGTACAAAACAAACCAGGTCAACCATAAAGTTGGACATTGAGGGTTTGTTCACACGCTATCCAGTGCGTTCCAGCACGGTTAGTGGCCGGAAAGCACTGGATTGCATAATTAAGCCTCCCTGCATTCTGGGGTGGGAGGGTCGTGGTGAAGTGAACGGCATAGCAGCCACTACTCCTGTCCGCAGTGCGATCGCTCGCACCAGAATGCATGGCACACCAATGCCCACGGTGCAATCGCAAACAATAGTGCATGCACGATATGGCCAATAATAGATTTTTTAAGGTTAACTTTTAGACCTGAGAAATTACCAGATTTTCAGTAATAGTTAAACATTTACTGCATCTCCGTATTGGTATATGTATATAAGAAAATATTTTCCTGCAGTCTACCCTCGGCAAACCCTTTCAGTGTTAATGGTTGTCTTATTAGATTTGCAAATGGATCTATTGTCAATGCAAATAAGAATGGTGCTGGAGGGAAACCGTCTTGTACCCTATTGAAGCTGGAAAAAAGAGTTGTTTGTTTGTATGCACCCTCGCCATTGGGTCAGTGTGGAGTAATTTTATCCATTTAAAAATTCAGGTCCACACATTTTGTTCTGTTATGCTCATAGAGATTCCCATTCTACAGAATTGAAGGCCTTGTAGTTGTTCAATAAATAAAGGCTAGATTCACAAGACTTTTATGCTGCATACATTTTTTACATGGACACTCCTAATGTTTGTAAAGTTATGTTTGCCTGATATAAATTTTGTTCTTGCTCCACTATATTCAAAATTACTTTAGAGAGGCGATTGGCTAGAAGTTTTGCTAGTATCTTGACATTGCATTTAAGCAGTGATATGGGATGGTACAAGTTACATAATTCTATGGGGTTGATTTACTAACCTTATAAACACACCACGAACATGTATACACCTCTGTAGTGTGTTCCCTCCCAGCATGATCTATGGGTGGAATCTAAACACCTTTGTAGTGTGTACACACCCAGCAGGTGTGTTGTGCAAAGCCTTGCATGAATTGCAAGGTGATGTTGTGTAAATTAGCTCTATGTTGTGTTGCTTGCGTTGATGAATGCAGGAATGTAAATGCATGAGCTAACCATTTTTGTCTAAACTGTGAAGCAGCATTATATATGCATCATGTGCATGATTTTTCCATATATGGCATTAGTGGAAATATGCTTTTAGAGACTTTTTGGTTGATAAATACGTTTTGCTGTGTGAAAATCACATGCACCTGGTGCGTGCGTGTGTTTAGGTTAGTAAATCACCCCCTATATCTTTATTTTTGGATTTCAGTAGTGTGCTCTGAGACAATGCTTGTTGTTGGACTTGAAGTGGTTGGAGGAAGACCATCAAAGGCCTGGGATTTTTCTCCCTGGGAAGGAGTGAATTACAGTTTTAGGTTCATCCACTGTAAACAATATATGTACGTGGACACTTTGACCCTGGTCTAGCACAGGTCTGCACAAATCTCTAAAAGATCTAGTAGGCAGTGGAAAAAGTTAAGAGCCTGCAAACTATAGCTGGTCGCCATGACCATCAGTATTTCCCAATCTTATTTTACTGACAAATTTACACAGAAACACTAAATGAAGTGTATGCAAGTGTAAATATATTAATAAAACTACCAAGATAAATCCTGGTTGATCTTCCCCTGTTTTGTTTTTGACAATCCCACACAGACAATACGGATCCATACTCCCAATATGCATTCGGTGAGAATACAGGCAGTGAGAATACATAGCTATGAGTCTCCAGGGATGTGGGACACAAAGGGCTTAATTTGTTAAAGGATCCATTTGTTTGTTTCCCTTGCTGTCCACAATATTCTTAGAATTCTTCACCAAAACCAAATCTCAAAAGCATCAATACATTTCTCACCTTGTTTTCTAATTGTCCAGCTGTTAGTAAACTGTTAAAGCCTAATCAAATTTGTTTAAAACAAAAAAGCAAATGGGGTTTTAAGCAGCTGGTATATGAATAGAACTGTGAGATGGTAAGGTTCTATTCACATGGGGTATTATATATTTTTGGTGGTTTTGCTAGATCTGATATACTTCTCATGGTACCCAACTTTCTGTCATCTCATGATCTTCTACTCTTTATTTGCCTTCTTGTACTCTCTTTATCTCCTGCCACCATTTTACAGGTATATTACCAGCGTGCTCACATAGCTATCGGATCCCTCACTATAAATGAGGAGCGGTCAGAGATTGTGGATTTTTCAGTTCCCTTCGTAGAGACCGGAATCAGTGTCCTGGTATCACGTAGCAATGGAACTGTGTCTCCATCAGCCTTCTTGGGTAAGATCAACAGAATTTTTCACTTGTGTCTTCCCTGCAAAATATTATTCTTTAGTTCTTTATTGTGTGTATGCATTCCATTGAGACGGTTTATAGATCTTTTTTTTTTTTTTTACCATGGACCACCTAATTAGTTCTGTGATGGTTTTCCCTAATATCTGTGTTTTTTCTAATAGTATATAAATGAATGGTTTATGCTTTCTAGTCTAATGTTAACATTTCTGATTTCTGAAAATGATGATGTTGAAAAACACTAAACTATTTAAAATATAATATCAGGCTTTATTTTGGGTATTTGGTAGATTCTGTAAGGGATTTAACCTCTGTCAGTTTGTTTTTCTTACTGCTTTCTCTATCTGCATATGTTAAATTTTTATATACACCTTCTACTAGATACTGTATGAGATACTGCCCAAAGGGTTACCATCCCAGTGTTTGCTTTACAATATTTTAAAAGGCTCAGTTGTTTATTGTAATTATATTCTGCTATCAGTTTGTATTTGGCTCCACTTTGAAGCTCTTCATTTTGTGAAAAAATAAGTGGACCTCATGAAAATTGTTGACTTTTTAAAAATATTTGAACAGACAAGCATTCGATTTTCATTCAACTGTGCTTACAGATAAATATGGGACTATGGGAAAAAAATCAGAATCTGCCTTTTCAATTATTTATTCAACAAAAATATAAATAGATGTAATGTTGCATAGTGAATAAAGACCTTAAAGGCTGGTTTTGCCCCGTTTATTAGAAATTACTTCTTAGTGCGATCTGCAAAAATAGTGCTCGCAGCATTTTTGCGGATCGCACTGGACTGGAACACAGGCACTAATGCAGGCGATCGCACTGTGGGCGCACGCCTGCGCAGCCCACGCCCCCTCCCGCCCCTGAATGCAGGTGTTTTTCCGTTGGTAGATCTCAATGAGCTCGTCATTTGAAAAGTAGATCTCCAGACGAAAAATAGTGGGCGCCCCTGTTGTAGACTTTTTGCTTAATTTTTCTCCAGACTCTGACTCAACTTGGTAAATTCTTGACTTCTCCATACAAAATGTCTTCAATGGCAAGATGTTTTATTGCACAAACTCCTCATTTCTAATTCCCCCAAAAAATTTCAAATTGATTCAAATAAGGACTTTGACTAGGCCAGTCCATAACCCTTAATTTCTTCTTTGTGATTCATTTTCTGGTGGATTTGCTAGTGTTCTTTAGTTCATTATTATGTTTAAAGATCTATTTCTGGTACAACGTCAATGCAGAATTTATAGCTGACTCAATAGTATTATTAGTAGTATATTCACTTTGCAAGGGAATTTACACCTAGCTTAGTGAATGTGGTGAAAATTTACTTTACAAAGAATACCCAAACACGTGCAAATCAAATTAAAAAAAACAACAACATTTTTGCTTTCACATGATTAGATGATGAAAGTCTGCACCTTAGGGAAAATTCCCTTACAAAGTGAACGGCCTATTTATCTGTTAAATCAACCCCCAAAGACGGCATGCTGTCCAGGACATTGAAGCAGAAAATTAACCCAAAACAATAACATATCCACTGGTTCTTCTTCTGAAATGCTATCTTCAATTTGCGCAAAACATGTCTGTGTTGTGGTCTTGCCCTGTTGTTCTTTTTGGACAGAAAATGTTTTTTCTTGGCACACCTCCTATGCAGGTTAAATGGGTGCAATCAAATTCTGATTGTAGATACATTCCCTTTTACACCAACTGTTGCAAGTGTTGTTTGCAGATCCTGTAATAAAATGTTGGGGTTTATAGGAGACTTCTTTTAGCTTAAACAGTCAGCTCTTGGGCTGAATTTGCTGGTCAGGCCCATCCTGGAAAAATTAGCAGTCATTTAAAATCTACGCTACCTGTAGATTATTGTCTTTACAATAAAATTTTAAAATTTTAAATAATATGAAGATCTTTTTAAATCGAGACTCAAAGCTCAGAGCTCAGAACTCTTTAAATAAGACAGGTTCCACCTGTATATTCCCTAAGGAGGTTTTAACCATTAGCACCTAATCTGGAACACCTGATTTTAACTTTATAGATTTGAAGTGGACACGTGACAAATCTGCATCTTCGTTAATATAGATTGTGACAATAAATATACCATGCAATTGTATGTGTCATTTGTGCAAGCATATCACACTTATCTGTAGGCACTGTTTGATGGAAGATCTGTTTAACTGTTCAAATATTTTCAAGAAAGGTCAACAATTTGCATGGAGTGTATTTGCTTTTTCACATGACTGTAGGTGCGTCATCTTGGTTTTGCATAGCTAAAGTCTGTCAGGAACTTGTAGATTACCTATATTATACTGCTCTGTTCTCAACTTTTCTTATTCACCTTTGTTGGCATCACCATCCCTACTAGACATGTGCGATTCGTTTCGTTACGAATCGAAATTCGTACGAATTTTCCTGAAATTCCGAATTTCGGAGCATCCGAAATCCGAATGGCAGTTTCCGAATTATATCCGAAATACGAAATTCCGTTAACGAATTTCGGATCCGAATTTCTTTGAAACAGGAACTAATATTACCCCTGTAAATGAGGTTGAACAGCATGACAAGATTTTTTTTAATCCGAGATACCGATCCGCTGCTGCTGATGCATTTGCTGCTGAGAACACAGTTACACACACAGGCAGGAAATACGAAATTCCGTTGACGTATTTTCGTTCCGTTACGAACATTCGTTATATTGAAGGTAAAAAGCAAAGTACATTTATATTGGAGTTGATGGTAGTTTTTTTTAAAGTCCGAAATACGGAATTCGGAATCCGTTAACGGAATTCGTATTTCGGATAAAAAAACAACTACCACTCCAATATTAACAAAGGTATTTTGCTTTTTAACTTCATCATAACGAATGTTCGTAAAGTTACGAAAATATAACCGCCACTAACGAAAATTCGTATTTCGTACGAATCCGAATCCGAATTGAGTTCAGTTACGAATTACGAAATAACGGATATTCCGAAACGAAACGAAACAGAACAAATTTTTTGACGGCACACAAGTCTAATTCCTACCTGCAACACTTTCTGAAATTTCCCTAGCACCTAATCTCACGTCGGAGTTCCTAAACAATTAAAACTGAACTCCGGACAAGCAAATAACTATATTGTTGATTATATGGATAGTCTGTAAATATTTGTTTGCCTTTCACAATGATCATGATTATTAGTTTTACATTCACAATATAAAGTGATCAGCTCCATATAACTAAGCCTCTTTTTTCCCCCCAGAACCATACAGTCCTGCAGTCTGGATGATGATGTTTGTCATGTGTCTGTCTGTGGTTGCTGTGACTGTCTTCATCTTCGAGTATCTCAGTCCCATGGGATATGACCAAAACATAAACAATGGAAAACGTAAGAGAATACTTTAATACTCTTTGAGTAAGAAGCATTCGGAAAATGACAGTACACAATTATTTATATACGTTTTGTTGTGAGAAGTAGAAACATGGCTCTCACGAGGATGACTAGAAAATAAATTGCTTCTGTCCGTCTACCAAAGAAGGAATAATTTAATCAGTTTTCCTGATATCTATCTTGGGCATAGACCTAATGTGGTACTACACCTGGCTAATCTGCTAAATTATATCATTGCAAACCAGTGGACATAAGTTAACAAATGGCTTAATGGCACTGACATTGCCTCTCCTGCTGAACTGCCCTCCATTGGACTGCACTTTAGCCACATGCCAACAGCCACAGAGTTGAAGATGATGTCATACTGTCCCCTCACTGCACCTATCATATTAGTTGCTATTTTCATATTTGCAGAGTTGCTTTCTCCAATTACTCCTACGTTTTGCAGTCATCAAGGCATCTACAGACCCCATGGGGTTGATTTACTAACCTTATAAACACACCACGAACGTGTATACGAACGTGTATACACCTCTGCAGTGTGTTCCCTCCCAGCATGATCTATGGGTGGAATCTAAACACTTTTGTAATGTGTACACACCCAGCAGGTGTGTTGTGCAAAGCCCTGAATGAATTCCAAGGTGATGTTGGGTAAATTAGCTCTATGTTGTGTTGCTTGCGTTGATGAATGCAAGGAATGTAAATGCATGAGCTAACCATTTTTGTCTAAACTGTGAAGCAGCATTATATATGCATCATGTGCATGATTTTTCCATATATGGCATTAGTGGAAATATGCTTTTAGAGACTTTTTGGTTGATAAATACGTTTTGCTGTGTGAAAATCACACACACCTGGTGTGTGTGTGTGTTTAGGTTAGTAAATCACCCCCCATGACTCATGTAACACTGCCTAAATCACTTATTTGCTCAGTTTCCATATTTCCTGTTTTTTGGCACCTTCCCAATTAAACCTTCAGTCTTCTGCCCCTCACCCCCGTAAAGCCCTACACCCACTCAATTTATAAAAAAAAATCAAATTAATATACATACTGTATTTTCTTCAAGCTGATTCCTGGGGAATGGAGCACAGGGTCCTCTTCTGTTTTTCTTCAGTGGTGGGTGGGTGGTCCTAAATTATACAAAGAACAAGCTAAGGTAATGACTTTGCTGCCTCCTGCTATTCTCATTCTCCTTGGAGCTCAGGTTGGCATGATATTGCACCTCCAGGGATATGTCTCTTTTATTTTTGAAATGTAAAAATGGTTCTGCATTAAACTCCCCAAAATATACAAATAGTTTTTTCCTCAAACTTTTTTTAATTGACTGTTATCTCACTCTAACATCACCAACTAACATCACCAACATTACTTTCTCCTACTTTCATCACTGCCTTATAACTTGCAATATCGCTTCTCCCTTTCTGTATCCTACCAGAAAGTGTAGCCTGTGCACAAAATCTTTGACCCAACATCAAAAAAACTTACCCCATTCCCTTTGTCTGCCCCAAGAAAGCTATTTTTAATTATAACTAATCCCTTTCCTATACACCATACAATATAACTCCTGCAACACTGTGCTGCACCTGGTCACAATCCAGATCAAAAGAATAGCAAATCTAAAATTCCAAATAACAAATCCAAACTAATAAATTTTATTTGAGGGAATCTCACTCTGAGTCTGTTTTCATACGTTTTAATTCACATTCTGCTTCTACAAGGACGAAAGATAATCCCATTTCAGGTTTCGTTTCTCTAGCACCTAATTCCAAGCACCTCTTCTAAATTTCTATTTCACTTTCTTAGCTATTCATTTCTGATACCCTCAAATGACTTCACTTCCCAAGAACTTGCCTGCTACTTCAGAGACAAGATATACAGTAAGGTAGGAGTTACAAATAAAATCAACTTGCCACATGGCTACTTGCACTCACTATCCTAGCTGCACTCGTTATCCCCTATGCATATCCTTATATTTAATAGAACAGTATATCAGTTATCAGAATAACAGTTTCTTCACTAATAACCTCTTTTCATCTTACTATTTGCTTTCTAAATCCTTTGCATTCACAAGTTATTGACACACTAACACTTGTTTTCCACTTATAAGGGATCGGTAGTATATTTTGATCAGTTCAACTAACATACCTGTACACCCCTGTGGACCAGAGCGATTATTACATTTCTGCTATAGACCTTTTTGTTTGGTAATAACTTTGTCATTACTTAAGATGAAATATATATACATATATTATTTTTTAGGGCAAACAAGGCTTTATTTTGATGATACTGTATCAGCTGATACTGATTTTGTAATTGTTACTATAGATAAAAAAATATATAAATTTTAGTCTATCACATAAATTGTAACTACATTGCTGTATAAGGAAGCAACAATTAGTTTAATAGCAAATATGCCTATGCTATAATGTACAGCTGGCAAATTGGTTACATTAAATTTCCTAAGCAATATAGACATCCAGTTTATATTGTATCATAATTTCATTCCGCTCAATAATATATTGGTTGTCAGACTATAAGATCTTGTCATCTAGAAATATTAATATAACTAGAAAAACAGCAGCATTATAAAACTTTATAACTAGGGATGCACCGATACCACTTCTTTAAGGCTGATTCGGCCAATCAGCGGGAGAAGATATCAGAATGGAGCAGATGACTAGGCTGTGACATCTGCTCCATTCTGACCTCTTCTCCAGCTGATTGGCTGTATCGGAGTATTTGCACAAGTACTCATGCAAATACTCGGTATCGCAGCCGATACCGATGCTTGTATCGGTATCGGTGCATCCCTATTTATAACACCACCTCAGCACACCCCTCAGACCATTTTTTTTGTTCATGTAATGTCTATAAATGCCCTCTTCAGGGACCAGAAAAGATGGCTGCAAATGCAACTTGTGAGCTTTCAATTGATTTTAAAACTGCTAAGCATACTGGAGGAGTAATTTATGAGAGAGACAGTGACTCTGTCAAATCTGACTTACTTTTAAACAAATTGGACTCAGGAACTCAAAGACCAGACAAACTTTGTTAAAGTGACACTAAACTCAGGAGTTAAATCTTAAAAATGTATTCAGATACCTTAAGTATTAACAAAAATTTAGTTTATTTGTGTATCACTCAGCTGTAGATCCCCAAATCCTCTCTGAATTGGTGCTGACACTGTCCTTCCTTCAGGAGGCTGGCTCCTTTTGTTCCCCATGGTCCCTGTGTGTCTTGTAAATTAGCCACCGTTTCACAATTAGTAAACTAAATGTGAGATTGTAGTCCATCACGGGAGCAAGCTTGGAGTGGTGGTTACTTTACAACACACACCGGGACCATGGGAAACAAATGTAGCCACCCTCCAGAAGGAAGGACAGTGTCAACACCAATTCAGAAATGATTTGAGGATCTACAGCTATGCATTTAGATATCTAAGCTATGAACAAAAATGTATCTTATTTGTGTATCACTCAGCTGAGTGATACACAAATAAGATACATTTTTGTTCATAGTTTAGATATCTGAATGCATTTTTAAAATGTAACTCCTGAGTTTAGTGTCACTTTAAGTACTTACTACTATTTAATTAAATGTATTTAGCTGTTGCCTGCTGTCTTTAGTAATATCTTTAAATATCTTTAAATTAATAATAAATCTCTAAATGCTCTAATCAGAAATTTAAAAAAAATCCTTGACTCTTTGAAGAAAGCTACCATGTTTTAAACTGTAATATTCTTGTCTGGTGTGGCAGTGAGTGTCACAGACAATTCTTAAAGGTCCAAATTACTATAGCTGATACTGTAAATGGTGCATGTTCCATTAAAACAAGTGATGGCAGCTACTTTTGGTTTGTAAAGGGCTGACTGTTGAGCTAACTGTCCCCAGTTCTTAGTCCCATGAACTGAAAAGGGTTAGACTGGGAGGGCAGTTGTAACATTCTGATAGCAGTGGTGGGAGTTGAGCATTCCACTGTCACTTCCACAACTCATTAAAGATACACTGTCACCTTGTCGATGTAGTGAAAATGTTTTTGTTAAAGGCCCACTCACCCACTGATACTCACCTTGCAAATATTTTGCTGCCATTCCTTACTCAGAGCTGACAATCTCCAGTGTTGCCTTGTATTCAATGTTTGGGGGAGTGGTGACATTACTTCCTCTGTGATTTGATGTTCAGGCCTATTGATTGGATGCTAGGCTCGAGCACTGTTGCATGGAAGGAGGTCACATGCTACCCCATACCCAGAATGTATTGTCCCTGATTGCAGGGGTTAGAGCTAGCGAGGGAAGTATCAGTAGGTCAATGGAGGGAGCTTTACAAATGAATAGGCAAGTTGACATTGTCTCTTTAACTGAGTATACATTTTAAATTCTTATTGTAATGTTTTCCTGAAAGTTATATGACATATTTACTTGCTTTTTGTCCCAAAGTGTTATTGTGTTTATCATCGCTCTAATGCTCATCTGTATTAGATAATGTGATTAACAGCCTTGCTTTTTTATACAGGTGTGAAAATGTTCCCTGTAGTGCTCATCTGTATCAGGGAATGTGATTAGAGGCCTTCGTTATGACATACTGTGACACGATCAGTTAGCTCTGTACAGAATTTCCATTGTCAGTCTGATGCAGCCCATAGACTTGCACTGAGAGACTGTAATAAGAAAATATGGCTTTCCCCATGTATATACACTACCTGTCAAATGTCATATTGTTTGGAACGTTCTTCCCAACACTGCTGCAGAATTTCCCAAGAATGCTGAAATAGTAGAAAGGCATCATGGCACACTCACAAACCAGCATGTAAAACAACTGTTTTGCTTTCCCAAGAATGCATCGCACTTGTTCTTAATTTTCTTTCACCCTTCAGTCCAGTTCATCCCAAACCAGCTGGATGGGGTCTAAGCCTCTAAGGTAGTTCTCTGACATTGCATGAAGGTATGTTTTGTGTAATTATCCTGCTGTATGATGAACCCCTGACCAACTAGGCATA